TCCGTGCGTTTGGGACGAATGTGCGGATGGGCCAGAAAGCGGCCCAACCCCGCATCCAGAACTTCCTTAATATCCCCGTTGGCCTTCCGGCGGGCCCGATCAACCCACCCCCTGGGCTCATGACGTTACGCCAGACCCTCCTGGGAATCATCATCGCAGACCATACTGTACAACCCCCCGGCCGACGTGCCCGGATGACCTGGAAATCGTCCATAGGCTGGAGAGTCAAGGCTTTATGCTTGACCAACCCTAGGTCATTACCTCCCAGGTGCACCACCAACACGTCCGGGGGGAGGGGGGGAAGGCGCGTGGGCCCCTGAAACAACAAAAGACAGAGGCCCGCCCAGTGAAGTCCACGGCGCCCCTGCCATTCAATGGTGGCCCATTGACTAAGTCCCAGCTGAGATCCAAACGAAGTTCTCTTTGCCCGATGTGCTGCCCAAAAGACAAGGCTGTGGCCACAGATGAGAACCCGCTTCCTCTCGACGGCCCCTAAACAACCTAAGAGGGAAACAACAGATTAATCCAAAGAAAAAGAAAACCATGAAGAGGGAACAGGGGCGCCTACAGAGGGAAACGACCGTGTATACCCTAAGAGGAAGGAAAGGGGCGCACATAAGACTTATAGGCAGCGGAGCCCCACCTACCCAGCCGCTGAATGTCCGGGGAAAAGTAACCCATGGCTGCAGCAGTAGATGCCGCCCCGATCCGAAAGGAATGTGTGCCAAACCTCGCTCCTGACAAGCCCAACTTCGGGGTCATTTCGTAGAAAAAGAGCTAGGGGAACTCATTAGCATATGCCACACCCCCTGACATTAGCTCACACTAACTCAGCTTAGAGGGAACACTGGTGGCAGTTCCAGTGACAAAGTGTGCCGAAACGAGGCTCACGTATCTGGAATCCTCATGTGATTTCTGACCTGGACTTCTGACTTTTTGGATCCTTTTGGACTGATTTTGTTGGGACTCCTCTGGATCCTTTTTGTTCAACCATTCTTTAATATTTCTTTTGTTCAACCATTCTTTAATATTTCTTATGAGATTGTTATGTTATTCTATGTATCACATCATTTCACATCATTTGGATCTTTTATTAATACATAACTTATGTTATATATTTTTGTGTTTTATTACAGTGTATTTGTCATTACTGTGTCTGCTTTGGAGCAGCTCATAGACCCAGCAGAGGACAGTGCTACTCTATGTGCTCATGTTGCAATGACCACAGCCGTTGCACAGGATCCCTAAGAAGAGAAAAGCTGGGAGGGGTGGGTGGTGGTGGAGTCTTCTATGAAGAAGAAGGGATTGGATGTATACCTCACCCTTCACTCAGAGTGGCCCCCACAAACTCCTTTCCCTTCCCCTCCCCACAACAGACACCCTTGTGAGGCAGGTGGGGCTGAGAGAGCTCTTTCAAGAACTGGCCCTTTGAAGGACAGCTCAGACAGAACTATGGCTTGCCCAAGGTCATCCAGCAGCTGCAACCAGAGGAGTGGGGAATCAAACCTGGTTCTCCCAGATTAGAGTCCGCGCACTTAACCACACCAAACTGAATACCCCACAACAGGCAATGGGGGGTTATCAGAGTGTAACCCACGGGTCCTCGACCCATTTTGAGCCTGCAAGTGCTTTTGGAATTCTGAGAGGGGGTGGTGAGCGCCGCCCTAAAATGACTGCCCCAAAAGGTGGAGCCAGACCCAGTTCTAACGTACTGATTAGCAATAAAGGGCAAGGCATGCGGGGGGAAGACGGGTGTGTGCAAATTATTGCAAAGAATTCCACCCAGCTCCCTTGCAAAAAATGGGCAATTTCCCTCTCAATGGATTGCAAGGATCTTAAGATTTAGTTTCAAATCAACAGTAGCAGGTAAACTTTGCTGGACTTAAAGGTTGGTCTTGAGCAGTAGGCATGCACACGGAAGCTCATACCCAGAATTACACTTTGCAGGACTCTAGGGTTGGTCTTCAGAAGTGGGCATGCACACAGAAGCTCATACCCAGAATTACACTTTGCAGGACTCTAGGGTTGGTCTTCAGAAGTGGGCATGCACACAGAAGCTCATACCCAGAATTACACTTTGCAGGACTCTAGGGTTGGTCTTCAGAAGTGGGCATGCACACAGAAGCTCATACCCAGAATTACACTTTGCAGGACTCTAGGGTTGGTCTTCAGAAGTGGGCATGCACACAGAAGCTCATACCCAGAATTACACTTTGCAGGACTCTAGGGTTGGTCTTCAGAAGTGGGCATGCACACAGAAGCTCATACCCAGAATTACACTTTGCAGGACTCTAGGGTTGGTCTTCAGAAGTGGGCATGCACACAGAAGCTCATACCCAGAATTACACTTTGCAGGACTCTAGGGTTGGTCTTCAGAAGTGGGCATGCACACAGAAGCTCATACCCAGAATTACACTTTGCAGGACTCTAGGGTTGGTCTTCAGAAGTGGGCATGCACACAGAAGCTCATACCCAGAATTACACTTTGCAGGACTCTAGGGTTGGTCTTCAGAAGTGGGCATGCACACAGAAGCTCATACCCAGAATTACACTTTGCAGGACTCTAGGGTTGGTCTTCAGAAGTGGGCATGCACACAGAAGCTCATACCCAGAATTACACTTTGCAGGACTCTAGGGTTGGTCTTCAGAAGTGGGCATGCACACAGAAGCTCATACCCAGAATTAAACTTTGTTGGACTTAAAAGGTGCCACTGGACTCAAGGTTTGTTCGACTGCTCCAGACCAACACGGCTGTCCACCTGAATACACCTGACAGGTAAGGAGAAGGCACTCTGCACATGCTCAGAGGAGCCCCGTCCTCGACCGGCTTGCAACTAAAAGCCAGCAGCATGCACACGGAAATCCCCTCCTACCCGTCCCCCTCCTACCGCGGCAACAAGAAGCGGTTTCCATAGCAAACCCCCATCTTTATTCCCACCCCGTTTTCCTCACTTTGTTTTGAAGCGCACCAGGGGGCTCGCCAGCGCCATGTCACCACCACCCGCTCTCCCAGCGGCGAAACCCCCCCCACTTTTTATTGGGTTGGTTTTGATTCATGCTCGCTTCGGGGCTCCCCAACACAAGCACGTTGCAGAAGCATGTTGTTCTACGCCTGCGCGTTAGCTCGGTCTCGGCAGCAGGGGGAGCCATCGGCCTCGCGCGTAACATCCCGCAGACGTCAGGGAGATCTCGCGAGACGTCTCGCGTGGAATAAATAGTCCTCGCCGCGGCCTTGCGGCCTTCTAGTCTATCGAACACGTAAGTGAGGGGCTCATGGGGACGGAATCGGTCGCCATCGGTCGGGTGGCGGGGCGTTCTGACGGCTGAGGCCGGCCTCGGGGGGTGGAGGGCGGCTCTGGGCTTCTGGCGGGCGGGCTATTTTCCGTGGGCTCCGCGCCTGAATCGAACGGAGCGGGTACCGGCTGCAGGCCCGATGTTACGATAGGCGGCCATGGAGGCCTATCCGGGCTGTTCCATTTTTTGAATGTAGGGGGGGAAGTTGGCATGTGAGGGGGCTCCCCTCGCCAATGCAGCCGCTTGGATTCCCTGCAATTAGAAAGGTAGCCTGCCAGGAGAGAAGGGCTTGCTTAGTTTTCTCATCGACTCAGTAACGCGCTTCTGTCTATCACTGGAGTGCAGCAAGCAGCATCCCCCCCCCGCAGCTTGGAATGGTGTCGCCTGGGTCTTTTGTCTCTTTCAGTTGTGCCGCTAGGTTTATTGAAAGGGTTGCCAGCTCTGGGTCGGGAGATTCCTGGATATTTTGGAGGGGTAGTCTGTAAAGGTTGCAGCTGGGGGGGAGGGATGTCAGTGTGGTCTAATGCCGTAGAGCCCACCTTCCTAAATGGTCTTTTTTCCCAGGGGAAAGTAATCTTGATTGCCTGTAGTCCTGGGATATCTCCAGTTGGAACCTGGAGGTTGGGAAACCTAACTGTTGCAGGGAAACTAGCAAACCTTAAGAGGAATAGGGGTTCCTCTGCGGGGGGGGGGGATGATTGAAAGACTCTAGAGGCTTGGAGATGAGTTTATTTCTCCCTTTGCTTTCTACAGTTTGGGGGGGGTTATGAACCATAAGGTTTGGGGAGGAAGGAGCCCCATAGAAATGAGGATCCCTGAATTCAAATCCCCCCCCCCCCAAATGACTATGGTGATTAACTAGAAAACAGAATAATGTGTATGTCTCCTGGAGTGTTTTTAAGAGAATTGGCAAAGCATTTACCCAAAAAGTCACACGAAGACGGTCTCCCCCCACCCCCCCCCATGCTCTCAAAAGAAGTGGGGATGCTTTGTGTTTGCATGCAGGTTTCAGTTAGGCCCAATAATAATCTCTTTTGTGCACAACATTAAGGGGGGGGGAATTGCCTTACATTCAGGGTTGTCTCCCATTTGCGTGCCCTTTTTAAGGGCAGAAAGTTGGGATACAAACTTTATAAGTCAATCAGTCTGGTTGGTAGTGAAGAGTAGAAGAGAACTCAAGTTCCCTTAAACATTCTGTGCCAGTTTGGTGTAGTGGTTAAGTGCGCGGACTCTAATCTGGGAGAACTGGGTTTGATTCCCCACTCCTCCACTTGCACCTGCTGATGTGACCTTGGGTCAGTCACAAGCTCTGGCACAGCTGTCCTTGAATAAGAGCCCTTTGTGTCAGAGCTCTCTCAGCCCCACCCACCTCACAGGGTACCTGTTGTGGGGAGGGGAAGGGAAATGAGCTTGTAAACTGCTCTGAGACTCCAAGTGAAGGGCGGGTTATAAATCCAATCTCTTCTTATACCTAAAAATTCAGATCATTTTTTTCACTCAAGCTGGGACTGGCATCTCCCAGCATCTCAATCGTCATTCCTTAAATATGACTTTGCGTACTGAAATGACTTCAAAATCTCAAAAAAAACCCACAAAAAACTCCAGCTGTTCTTGGAATTGAGTGTGGTGTGTTGGGTACCACTTTTGACAGCTGTAATGGTGCTAAAGCATCACTCACAGTTTACTTCTCCCTCCCCCCCACAGCAAATGGCGGACGACGCCGGTGCAGCGGGAGGGGCAGGAGGAGCCGCTGGTGGTGGTGGTGGAGGAGGAGGAGGAGCAGCAGCAGCTGCCAGGGGTGGCTTCCGAGGAGGCTTTGGCAGTGGCCCACGAGGACGTGGGCGGGGCCGTGGAAGAGGACGTGGGCGGGGCCGTGGAGCCCGTGGAAAAGCCGAAGACAAAGAAGTAAGTTGGGTGCTCTCGGTCTCTGTTTCCTTTGGGTCTGAGTCCCGGTTCCCTGGGATCCGTGAGTCTTGCTAAAAGTCTTGCCTTGCTAGATTTATTCTAGGGGCCGCCTACTGAACAGCTTTACATATTAAGCTATTCCCACTTGACAACTGAGAAAACCAAGACTAGGATTAGCTAACAGCAGGTCTTGAATCCAGACTGATCCCTGGTATTGTTCACTGTAAGAACATAAGAGACATCAATGTTGGATCAGGCCGATGGCCCATCCAGTCCAACACTCTGTGTCACACAGTGGCCAGAAATACCAGGTGACATCAGGAGGTCCACCAGTGGGGCCAGAACATAGAAGCCCTCCGACTGTTGGCCCCCCAAGCACCAAGAAGACAGAGCATCACTTGCCCCAGAGCCCCTATCTATACCTTGTGGCTAAGAGCCACTGATAAACCTCTGCTCCATATGCCTATCTAATTCCCTTTTGAAGCCGTCCATGCTTGTAGCTGCCACCAATTCCTGTGGCAGTGAATTCCATGTGTTAATCACTCTTTGGGTGAAGAAGGACTTCCTTTTATCCGTTCTAACCCGACCGCTCAGCAATTTCATGGAGTGCCCACGAGTTCTTGTCTTGTGAGAAAGGGAGAACTGTAGTCTGTCATTGATTAATATCTTTTTTTTAAATGTCCTCTGGTTTTTAGGAGGATAGAGATATACAGGAAGGGTTGCCAGTTGGTGGCACCTGGCTTGAAAGTGGGGGGGGGCAGTAAAATGGTGGACCCTGTTGCATTAACAGTGTGACATCGTTTCTGGTGTGAATCCGGTAGTGATGTCATGCCAGTCTGGGATTCTGCAGTATATGATACTATAGCAGGAGATGTGTAATCCTAGATATAGGCTAGTGTAGTAAAGGCTGTAAAAACCTTACCCAATAATGGCCTTTGAGGCTATCTTGGGTAGAAGGATGCTGTCTTCAAACACTCTCCTGTGGTTTAAAAAAGGGAGGACGCGCATAGGCGACAGCTATTGTTTTATCTGGTTGAACAATGTAGAAACGGCACTCCAACATGCACCACTATGTGTGTTTGGTGTAGTCGTTAAGTGCACGGATTCTAATCTCGGAGAACCGGGTTTGATTCCCCACTCCTCCACTTGCACCTGCTGGATGACCTTGGGCAAGCCATAGTTCTGACAAGAGCTGTACTCTCAAGGGCAGTCCTTGAAAGAGCTCTCTCGGCCACGCCTACCTCCCAGGGTGTCTGTTGTGGGGAGGGGAAGGGAAAGGAGTTTGTAAGCTGCTCTGAGACTCCTTTGGTATAGTGAAGGGGCGGGGTATAAACCCGGTCTCCTCTTCTTCCTTCTGACAGTATAGATTGGCCAGCAGTGCTTTTTGCCAGTGGGTAAGGGCCGGGGTATCGTCCAATTTTAGAACAGCTTTAACCGGTTGGTTTCCTTTCCGCAGTGGATTCCAGTCACCAAGCTCGGCCGCCTGGTCAAGGATATGAAAATCAAGTCGCTGGAAGAGATCTACCTCTTCTCCCTCCCGATCAAGGTACAGCTGCAGGCCCTCAGTGGGGCTTTGCGCCGCCTCCCATTATTGTGACAGTACCAGTCGGCTCTAAAAACCCAAATGGGGTTTGAGCGGGGGAGCTGCGGTGGCTGACCGTCTCGCCTTGGTCTTGCAGGAGTCTGAAATCATTGACTTTTTCTTGGGCACTTCGCTGAAGGACGAAGTCCTGAAGATCATGCCTGTCCAGAAGCAGACCCGGGCCGGGCAGCGCACCAGGTTCAAGGTACTCTTTTCCGCATCCCTTCATTCTGGCTCTGCCCCGGCCTGTCGCTGGGCAACCTCCATCTCCATGCCTCTGCAGGCCTGTGAGGTGTGCTCTTGTATTGGAAGAGGCGCAGTCCAAAATGGCTTGCTGTTAGTGCAGTGGTGGCGAACCTATGGCACGGGTGCCAGAGGTGGCACTCAGAGCCCTCTCTGTGGGCACGCGTGCCATCGCCCCAGCCAGGCCCAGACCATCGTTAAAAGTGTCGAATTCTCCGCCAGATAATTTTAAGTAAATGAAAGCATTTGGGATTGCTTTCCTTACTTTGTTTGGATCATCTTAAGTTAATGTATGAGTTGTTTTTCTAAAGTAAAACCTCATTATTCAGGTTAAATTGCCGTGTTGGCACTTTGCGATAAATAAGTGGGTTTTGGGTCGCAGTTTGGGCACTCGGTCTCTAAAAGGTTCGCCATCACTGCTGTGTTAAGTGTGTGCATTTCCACTGGACTTCCAAGTGGGGAGATTGCAACTTCGAGAAAGCTTCAGCCGGGGGTTGCTCCTTAACTGCCGGCGACCCCCGGGGCAGTTAGTGACGTAAGATGGCAGCAGCTTATAATTTTACTTATGGGAGCCCCTGAATGCGAAGCTATTTCATACAGAGGTGGTCTCGTCTAGTCTGTGTTGACTCGTCTGTCTGGCAGGGCTTCCCCAAAGTCTCTTCCCCAAAACTTCATTTCCAGAAGGTCCCAGGATCAATCCCCAGCGTTCCAGTTAAAGTTGATTCAAGATGGGCGACCGCGTTAGCCTGTCCGTAGCAGTAGAGATGAGCAAGAGTCCAGCAACTCCTTAAAGACTGACAGAATTTGTGGGCAGGGGAGGCGCTTTCGCCGGTCACTGAGCAGTGAGCAATGGCTCGATGAAAGCTTGCCAGAAATTTTGTTAGTGTCTTAGGGACTCCTGGACTCCTGCTCTTTTCTACTGCTGCTGACAGACTAACACGGCTACCCATCGTGATCTGTCTCCCAGGAAGGTACCACATTGAGCCATGCAGAATTGAAACCCATTAGCCTTATGAAGAAACTTGGGTATTTGAAGAGGTGAGCAGTGACTCACAAAAGTTCATTTTGTTGTTCAGTCGCACAGTCGAGTCGGACTCTTTGCGACCCCATGGACCAGATCACGCCAGGCCTTCCGGTCTTCCGCTGTCCTCTGAAGTTGGCTCAACTTCATGTTCGTTGCATCTATGACACTGTCTAACCATCTCATCTTTTGCCGTCCCCGTCTTCTTTGACCTTTAATCTTTCCCAGCATCAGGGTCTTCTCCAGTGAGGGCTCCCTTCTCATTTGGTGGCCAAAGTATTTGAGCTTCAGTTTCATTATCTGGCCTTCCAGGGAACAGTCAGGATTGATTTCTTTTAGGATTGACTGATTTGTTCTCCTTGCAGTCCAAGGGACTCTCGAGAGTCTTCTCTTCAAAAGTTCATCCCCTTCCACAAATGTTGTGAGTCTTTAAGGTGCCACTGGACTCTTGCTCTTCTCTACTGCTATAGGCAGGCTAACACAGCCACCCACCTTGAACCACCTTGAACTGGCATGCTGGGGATTGATCCTGGGACCGTCTGGAAACGAAGCCGATGCTCTGCCAGTGAGCCACAATCCATTCCCAGCCCTGTCGCACTCTTACAGGCCTCTTGACCTATCTAGCACACTTACTGTGCTCTAACCATTAGGTCACAGGACCTTTCAGTCCCTGCTCTTACGGGAATGTATGGCTTTTTGTTCTGGGAGCGAGGTGTCTCAATCGAGGCTGTTCCACTTCTGCCCACGTTATGGGAGCAGCATAGTTCCCTCTAAGCTGAGTTGGTGTGAGCCAGCTCACAGATTTTTAGCCTCCGGCTCACACATTTTTGTCTTAGCTCAGGAAGGGATGGCTCCAGAGTAAACTGATTTATGCAGCAGCCAAATCGCTCGCTCACAACTTTAATGCCAGCAGCTCACGAAGTAGAATTTTTGCTCACAAGACTCCACAGCTTAGAGGGAACATTGGGGAGCAGTATAGGTTTGGGCTTGGATGCTGCCTATGTGGCTAGTAAAGCTCACTCAAGTTTGCTAAAGGTTCCTTTGCATGTTAAAAAGGTAAAGGTTCCCTTGCTCGAAAGCCAGTTGAATCCGACTCTAGGGTTGCGGTGCTCATCTCCGTTTCAAAGGCGAAGAGCCAGCGCTGTCCAAAGAGTTTCCGTGGTCATGTGGCCGGCATGACTAAACACCGAGGCGCACGGAACGCTGTTCCCTTCCCACCCAAATGGTCCCTATTTATCTACTTGCAATTTCTTGCTTTCGAACTGCTAGGTGGGCAGGAGCTGCAACTAGAGACGGGAGCTCACTCCGTCGTGCGGCACACTCGGGTCTCGAACTTCTGAACTAACGACCTTCCACAGCCTGCAGTTCAGCGTCTTAACCACTTGAGCCACCGCCTAATTCCTCTTCCTTCCTTCCTTTTAGGCTTTTGTTGCCATCGGTGACTACAACGGCCACGTTGGCCTCGGGGTCAAATGCTCCAAGGAAGTCGCCACCGCAATCCGCGGGGCCATCATCTTGGCGAAGCTGTCCATCGTGCCGGTGAGGCGTGGCTATTGGGGCAACAAGATCGGCAAGCCCCACACCGTGCCGTGCAAGGTAAACGCCACGGTTCTGAGGCACCAGCGGGCGGGTCTCTAAAGCAGGCGTGGAGACGAGGGTCTGTCGTGAGTCGCCCAGCCTCTGAGAGCGGGTTTCTGTTTAGGTGACGGGCCGCTGCGGGTCAGTCCTGGTGCGCCTCATCCCTGCGCCACGTGGGACTGGGATCGTGTCTGCCCCGGTTCCCAAGAAACTGCTGATGATGGCCGGGATTGATGACTGCTATACCTCCGCCAGGGGCTGCACAGCTACCCTGGGCAACTTTGGTAAGTTACCGCGCTTGGAGCCAGAGCGGGACTCTGTAGGATTTGAGGAAGGGTCTGCAGTGCCAGGAATAACGGCAACAACATCTCAGATAGAATCCCAGAATCCCAGAGTTTGACGGGGTCCATAGAGGTCATCTAGTCCAACCCCCTGCTCAATGCAGGATCAGCCTCGAGCACCCCTGGCAAGCCAGGGTTTGTCCAGCCGCTGCTTATAGAATCCTAGAATCCCGGAGTTGGAAAGGGCCGTACAGGCCAAGTAGTCCAACCCCCCCTGCTCAGTGCAGGATCAGTGTAGAGCAGTAGTGGCGAACCTATGGCCCGGGTGCCAGAGGTGGCACTCAGAGCCCTCTCTGTGGGCACGCGTGCCATCGCCCCAGCCAGGCCCAGACCATCGTTAAAAGTGTCGAATTCTCCGCCAGATAATTTTAAGTAAATGAAAGCATTTGGGATTGCTTTCCTTACTTTGTTTGGATCATCTTAAGTTAATGTATGAGTTGTTTTTTCTAAAGTAAAACCTCAGTATTCAGGTTAAATTGCCGTGTTGGCACTTTGCGATAAATAAGTGGGTTTTGGGTCGCAGTTTGGGCACTCGGGTCTCTAAAAGGTTCGCCATCACTGGCCTAGAGCATACCTGACGAGTGTTTGTCCAGCCACTGCTTGAAGACTGCCAGCGAGGGGGAGCTCACCACCTCCCCGGGCAGCTGATTCCACTCTTGCACAACTCTCACTGTCAAAAAGTTTCCCCCCAATATCCAGCCGGTACCTTCCCGCCCTTAATTGAAACCCATTCTTGCGAGTCCTGTCCTCTGCTGCCAACAGGAACAGCTCCCTGCCCTCCTCTAAGCGACAGCCGTTCAAATGCTTAAAGAGCATTTGTGCTGTCTTCATGTGAAAGAAAGTAGTTCCTTTCTTGCTTCTCTTTGCCTGTCACACCCTGAGAGAGCCTGCCCATAGGACAGTCGAGATAGACTTAAGGAAGCTTAGAGGGGAAAAGATCCCCAAATGTGGTTCCCATGGTCATGGATATTTTCCCTAGTCTTAAAGAAAACCAGGATCCCTTCAGTATTAGGAGCCATGGTGTGTGGTGGGCTCTGCACCAGTGTGTCCACTCGAAATGTGTGCGTCTTGAATCATAAAAGGGCCGTCTGGATTCCTCAGCGCTGGCTTGTGAACCGTCACATGATCTCGGGGACTTAGATGCTGTACTGAGGGCGGGGGATTTAAGTCTTTGAGCTAAGAATGTGCTAGACGCTGAAACACTGACGCTTGCAGTGAAGAATTGGAAGTTCTTGCGCACTGATGGGGCTTCAGTTTGTCCTGGCTCCAAAGTCAACAGTGCTTTACCACCCTTAGGGTTTTTTTTTAAGTTCGGGGCCCCTGCCTCCAGCCATTTGACTTTCCCTTTCCTTTCCATCCCGTTTTTTTTTCTCTGAAACTGCACTGAGCAAAGCAGTCTGTGGGTTATGCGACACAGGCTGGCAAAAAGTAAGGTGTCAAAAGGGTTCGTTAGGCAGTTAACGAAAAATCTGCCCTGGTTGCAGCTGCATCCTGTCTCACACAGATACGTTCCGTTGAAAACTCTCTCCGCTCTGCCCGGTTGCTCCTGGCCTCGGTGGGGCAACCGTCGTATTCGAGAGAGAAAGCAAAACCGGCTTGCCGAATGCACGGCAGTGAGGCCCGGCAAGTGGTCTCCCTGTTCCTTTTGAGAGCCGACATTTAGCAACACGCGTCTGTAGCCGGACGTGCGCTTTAGGGCAGGAGGCAGGCACGTGTGTGTGGTTGTGATGGTTCTTCTGTTCGCCTTTCCCTAGCAAAGGCCACCTTTGATGCCATCTCCAAGACCTACAGTTACCTGACCCCTGACCTTTGGAAGGAGACCGTGTTCACCAAGTCTCCCTACCAGGTAAAGAAGCGAAAGAAATATCGGTTGGGGGGGGGGGCAGAGACCTGGTGCAGGGAGGGAGCCTTATCATTTGGGGCTATCCCCTCTCTCAAGGGCTTAGGGTGTGCTGTTGAGCTAGGAAGAAGAGCTACGGCCCCGGTCACACGGCAAAGTTGCCGCGGGAGAGGCACGGGTGGTGGGTGGATTATCCGGGCGCGATCACACCCTAACATCTGGGAAGTGGAGCGCGCCGGTGGCTTACCGCCGACAACGCACCTTAAAAAACTAGTACCTCCAAGGTACTAGTAAACGTTTGCAATGTTCCCTCTAAGCTGGGGAGGCTTGTGAGCAAAAATTCTACTTTGTGAGCTACTGGCATAAAAGTTGTGAGTGAGCGATTTGGTTGCTGCATAAATTAGTTTGCTCTGGAGCCCTCCTTCCTGAGCTGAGACAAAAATGTGTGAGCTGGAGGCTAAAAAACTGTGAGCTCGCTCACACTAACTCAGCTTAGAGGGAACACTGCCGTGCTGTGATCGTGCCGGAACGCTGCATTCCCCTCCGGTCCTCGCTTACCCGCCGGCGCCGAGGGAAGGACCCGTGGTGTGCCGCCAGCGCGTCTGATCACGTAATTGCACATCAAACTGGGCCGGGGCAATTAGCCACCCCACCCCCCGGCGATATCTGGCCTGTGTGACCGGGGCCTAAGTTCACTTTCCCCCCTTGGCCGTGAAGCTCACTAGATATGGGAAATGCCTGGAGATTTTGGGGGTGGAGCCCGAGGAGGGTGGGGTTTGGGGAGGGGAGGGGCTTCACTGGGGTATAAAATGCCACAGAGTCCACCTTCCAAAAGCAGCCATTCTTTCCAGGGGGACTGAACTCTCATTGCTCAGAGATCAGTTTTAATCCCAGGAGATCTCCAGCCCCCACCTGGAGGTTGGCAATTTGGGCGAGCTGCTCACCGGTTATAAGACAGGGGAGGAAAGTAGCACATACGTCCCCTTGGGCTCGGAAGGGAAGGGCGGAGGGCTTATTAGGAGCAAAGGTTATCATCTCCCCCTGTGATTTTAAAGCTCCTTTTCGTGCTGATTTGGTCTGTGAATCTGCTTTGCGCCTTTCTCTGTAAATAGTGCACAGCTGTACAGGGGTTAGCTAGAGTTTTCAGGCTGTGTGCGCGCGTGAGGACAGGCCGCCAGTAGTGGAGAACGCTCACCATTCTTTTCTGCCGCTTCCGCAGGAGTTCACCGACCATCTGGCCAAGACCCACGCCGCCAGAGTCGCTGTGCAGAGGACCCAGGCGGCTGCCGTGGCAACCACCTAATGTGTTTTTGTATGGGAAATAAAAAACTATAAATGACCCAGTGTGATTCCTGAAACTGTCAAGTCCTTGTGTGTGTGTGTGTGTGGGGGGGGTAGTAAAATTAATGCCAGCTATCCACCCAGGCATTTCAAACGCATCTGGTCCCGTAATACCTTTTGTTAAGACCAACCCAAATGAGTTTTTGAGTTCTGAAGAGGAAGGGAAAGGTGATTGTAAGCAGCTCTGAGAATCCTTTGGGGAAAGCAGGGTATAAAAACCCGCTGCTCTTCATCATCAGACAGAATGTTGAGCCCGCTTGCGGGGAGGGCGGGGTATAAATCTAAATAAATAAATAAGAGCTTTTGGTGGAAAAGTGTCCTGAGCAAGGCTCCCTCTAAGCCGTGGAGTCTTGTGAGCAAAACTTCTGCTTTGTGGGTTACTGGCAATAAAGGTGTGAGCGAGCGATTTGGCTACCGCATCGCTTTAGTTTGCTCTGGAGCCCTCCTTCCTGAGCAAAGACAGAAGTGTGAGCTGGAGGCTAGAAGTTTGTGAGCTAGCTCACACTAACTCAGCTTAGAGGGAACAGTGGTCCTCCTGAGCCATGATCGTGAGGCATTTCTCTTGCAAGCATCCTGTGTGAAATGCTGAACCAGCACTGCAGATTCAATTGTGCAGGAGTCTACTGGATTCTCGAGGCACTCCATATGGAAGAGGAAAGCAAAATATGAACAGAGACTCTGGCAAATACCGAAGCCAGCACTTGGATCAGATGGGGGCAAACATCCCTTCGAGGCAGAACAGAGTCCAGTGGCACCTTTAAGACCAACAAAGTTATATTCAAGGTATGAGGTTTTGTGTGCGTGCGCCTTGAATAAGACTTATTGTGGGTCTTAAAAGACGCCACTGGACTCTTAACTTTGTTCTGCTACTTCAGACGAACATGACTGTCTGCCTGAATCTTTCCCGTAGAGGTGTTGAAATAATTTTTTATGTGGTCCCGATCTGACATAAGTCACTTGTGGGGCCTGGGGCGTATCATGTGCACTATAAAACCTAATGCCAGGTGTACCGGAGGTACAAGCTCTAAATGACACAGGCGAACCCCGCAACTGATTTACTGGGGAATCCACAGAAGCCCCAATACATGTATTTAATCATGCGAGACTAGATTTTTCCCAAGGGGTTGGTATCACTCGGGTGGGGGGTATCTTTTTCAGGAACCCTCCCCCCGTACCCCACCTCAGCAGCCAAGCATGGTTACAATCCATCTTGCTGTGTTTCACAGGAACATGGAATGTTAAGAGTTGGAAGGGACCTTGCAGGTCATTTAGTCCAACCCCCCTGCACACACTGCAGCACAGCCGAAAGATAGCCCTGCAACATACCCGAAAGATGGTTGTACAGCCTCTGCTTGAAAAATGTCCAGCAGAGCCTCCCTAGGCAGTCTGTTCCACTGCTCAACCACTCTTACAGTTAGGAAGTTTCTCCTGATATTTAGCCAGCATCGACTCCCTTGTAATTTCCACCCATTAGATCTAGTCTTGCAATCCGGAGCAAGAGAGAATAGATCTGCTCCATCTACATTTCCAGCTGCCTGAAGAGTCGCCATGAGTCATGCCGGCCTTGATCTACTCCATCTCTCTCCCCATCCTTCCTCTTAAGGATCTCAAGGAGGCACACTGGACTTTTTCCTCCACCAACAACCCTGTGAGGGGGTCCAGGCTGAGTGAGTGGCCCCCCAGGTGACCTGGATGTCGGGGTCTTAGCTGGGGGGGTCCCTCTGATTCCATGCACCCCCCAATTCTCACTTCCTGCATTTCCCACAGAAGTGGGAGCTGAGGGGAAGGCCTGACAGAGACAATATCGGCCTGCTTGCCACCCCCCCTCGCACCAGTGACTTGCAGGACAGATGACAGCCCTGGGGAGCCGGTGCTTGACACCCTGCAGATAACAGGCTGAAGCTCAAACGCTTTGGCCACTCACTGGAGAAGACCCTGATTCTGGGAAAGACTGAAGGTAACCAAAGAAGGGGACGGCAAGGATGAGTGTGTGCTGTCGATGCAACGAACATGTGGTCGCGGAGAGTCGGACTTGACTGCGCCACTGAACAACAGCAAAAAAGACCAAAGGCGGAGAGAAGTAGATGGTAGTTTGCTGTGTTAACCCTACTAGGTATTAATTTTAAATTGGTGCACAGGGTGGGGGGTGCACACATTTCTCCGGTCTTTTTTTTGGGGGGGGGCTGCCAAGTTGCAGCTAACTCATGGTGACCCCAGAGGGCTTTCAAGGCAAGAGACGTCGTTTGCCGTTGCCTGCCTCTGCGTAGCAACCCTGGACTTCCTTGGTGGCCTCCCATCCAAGGACTAACCAGGTTGGTGCCTGCTTAGCTTCCGATACGATGAGGGCCAGCCTGGGCCATTCGCGATTGAGCCAGGTGGGCAACCGTGTTGCTCTGAAGCAGTAGGACAAAGCTTGAGTCTAGCGGCACCTTTTTAAGACCATAAATGTTTTATTCAAGGTATAAGGTTTCTTTATTTAGAGGTTTTTATTCCGCATTCCCCAAAGTGGTCTCAGGGCCCATCACAAAAAACAAGGGTTCAAGACTTGTTACAATAAAAATCACAATGTCAGAACACCACTGTTCGATCTAGCAATAACAGTAGCACCCAGATATGTCTGAGAAAGTGTGCATGCACATGAAACCTCACACCTTGACTCACACCCTGGGCCATTCAAGTTAAGAGCTTTTAAGCACTGCTTGCATATATTACAGGGCTATTTTTGGGCAGGAACGCAGTTCCGGCTGGCTTCCAAGTTGGCTACGCCCAGCAGGAACTCATTAGCATAATAGGCCACACCCAACAGCAGAAACTCATTAGGATTGGCTACATTAGGGGTGTGTGGCCTAACATGCAAAGGAGTTCCTGCTACAAAAAAAGCCCTGGTTTTGACAACAAACAAGGTAAACAGAATAAGCAGCTAAAGGTGGGTGTGGCTGGATGAGCACACGTCTAGTAACATGGGGGTGTGGCCTAATATGCCAATGAGCTGTGCTGTCAGGGGTGTGGCCTAATGTGCTAATGGTTTTCTGCTTTTGGGTGTGGCCTATTATGCTAATGAGTTCCTGCTGGGCTTTTCTACAAAAAGAGCCCTGTATCTGTATCTAATCCCTGACAAGGGCAACTAGCATATCAAGGAAGCTAGGCACCTTCTCCTTGACGTGATAGTTTTGTTAAAAATAGAGGTGCATTCTATTATGCAAACCTGAAGTGGATTTACCACCCAAGGAATGTTGCTGACCACAAGTTGCTACAGGTTATGTTTAAAGCCTGATGGGTAGCTATGTTACTCTGCACCAACAGAATAGAGCAAGAGTCCAGTAGCACCTTAAAATTTGTGGCAGGGCATGTTTTGGTGTAGTGGTTAAGTGCGCGGACTCTAATCTGGGAGAGCCGGGTTTGATTCCCCACTCCTCCACCTGCACCTGCTGGATGACCTCGAGCAAGCCATAGTTCTGGCACAGCTGTTCTTGAAAAAAAGAGCAGTTTCTGTCAGAGCTCTTTCAGCCCCACCTACCTGTTGTGGGGAGGGGAAGGGAAAGGAGTTTGTCAGCCGCTCTGAGACTCCCTTGGGTAGTGAAGGGCGGGGTATAAATCCAATCTCTTCTTCAAGGTGCTACTGGACTCTTGCTCTTTTCTGAGGTATAAATCCTGTGGCTTTTAAAGGTCCATGTTTCGGTCCTTTCCCACTTCATTTCCCCTATGCAAACAGCGAAAACAAGAGCCTAATCTTTTTACACAACGAATTTATTTCCATTCTGGCGACTGTCACGCTTCAGTCTGGCTTTGCAGATTCTTCGGTCGGTTCGGAAACACGGGCGGTCGAGAGCTCGGTAGGGTACTACCAGTTTGTGCCGCGCACGCACACTGAGAGGTTTGGTTTGGGCATCCGTCTTGCCTTTTAGTGGGTTGCGGCTGCCTGAGCCTTCCTTTCCGCGATCATACGCTGCTTTTGTTTCATCAGGCAAGTCCGAGCATTTCCGCTGTAACCCAGGTCCCCGTCTAGGAAGAAGAGAGACAGTCAAAGGCAGCTGGGGGAACACTCCGCGGACTGCCCCTTCTTAAAGCCCTCTCTGAAAAATGAAATATCTGCATAATAGCCCATCGTCTTTGAGGCTCCTCAAGCCTCAGCATGAGCACTGTTAGACCAAGTAAGTAAGTAAGTACATTTATTACAGTCATTGACCAGTACACAGTAAAAGAAGTAAAACCCCAAACTTAAAACATTTCTGTTCCCGATACAGGAATATAATAATTGACGGGCTCTTTTTGTAGCAGGTACTCATTTGCATATTAAGTGACACACCCCTAATGTGGCCAATCCTCCAAGAGCTTACAGTAGCTCCTGTAAGAAGAGCTCTGTAAGCTCTTGGAGGATAGGCTACATTAGGGGGTGTGGCCTAATATGCAAAGGAGTTCCTGCTACAAAAAGAGCCATGAATATTTGTAAAATACATGAATAAACCACTAATAACCTAAAATATTAAGTGATTTAACTTAAATTACTTATAAAACCATCTCTAAAATATCAACTAGCATGACTTTTTTTTAATATTGGTTTTTATTAATTTTTAACAGCGTAAACACAACAGAATTAGACACAAAGGGCAATTACCGGCTCAATTAAACAGCTTTTCTTACATAACTCCCACAGTATCACAGTAGAGTCAAACATTTGTATCGACTAAGTAGCAAACAATTAAAAGAACATGTTCTTGTACAGCGGGTTTTTTGGAACTGCTTCACTATTTTCTAAATAACTAATAATAGGAAACCATACTGCCTGAAACTAGCATGACTTATCCATATTTTTCTCAGCTTAATTGCCAGCCAACCATACTTAGCGATTTTGAAGGTGACATTGGTTAGACCTAGTAAGACATCATGGGTAAGGTGAGATGACCCTGCTAGGAAGGATGAGGTGCCCCGCCCCTCCCACAAAAGTGACTCACATTTAGTCTGGTAGGCCTTGACGACTTCTTTGAATTGCTCCAATTCCCCTGCGCAGTTCTGGAAGTGGCTCTCTCCTTCCCTCTGCGTACAGGCTGATAATCTGTCCTGAACGATTTTCAGAATCTCTTCATCAACTTTCCTGTCGAAAGCGGCGGGGGATAAAAGTCACAAGAATGTCATAAGGAATGCAGAACGAAATTCAAGTCCAGTGGCACCTTTCAGGCCGACAAAGTTTGTCGGTCTGAAAGATGCCACTGGACTTGAATTCTGTTTCTGTGGCTTCAGACCAACCCGGCTGAACACCTGGATCGATAAGAAATAAGTCAAGCGGTGCTCCCACTAAGCTGTGGAGCCTTGTGAGCAAACATTCTACTTTGTGAGCGGCTGGCATGAAAGTTGTGAGCGAGCGATTGGGCTACTGCGTAAATTAGTTTGCTCTGGAGCCCCATCCTTCCTGAGCTGAGACAAAAACGTGTGAGCCGGAGGAGGCTAAAAAAACTGAGCTCGCTCACACCGACTCAGCTTAAAGGGAACACTGTGGCCCCTTTAAGACCGACAAAGTTGTATTCACGGCATAAGCTTCTGTGTGCAAGCACACTTCGCCAGTCTGGATCTGACGAAGTGTGCTTGCAAATAAAAGCTAATACTGTGGCCAGGGTCCTGCATACCTAAGGGGACCACCTTTCCCCATACGCTCCCCAAAGGACACTGCGATCGGGGACCCAGAACCGGCTGCCCCCCCCCCAAGCTTCAAGGAGGCCAGACTGGTGGCAACTAGGGCCAGGGCTTTTTCGGTGGTGGCTCCACTCTGGTGGAATGAGCTCCCGGAAGAGACTAGGGCCCTGTGGGACCTTGTACAATTCCACAGGGCCTGTAAGACGGAGCTCTTCCGCCAGGCTTTTGGAGCCGCCACCATAACAACCGCTAACACCTCCACCGCCAAAAATTAATACCTACTTTGGCGGAGCCCTGGCCTGTAGGTCTCTCAAACACAGCCGTGCCAATGATCTGAGATAGCCGCAGAAGGGTGAAGACCAATGTTCCCTTTAAGCTGTGGAGTCCTGTGAGCAAAAATTCTACTTTGTGAGCTACTGGCATTAAAGTTGCGAGCAGGTGATTTGGCTACTGCATCAATTAGTTTGCTCTGGAGCCCTCCTTCCTGAGCTAAGAGCCGGAGGCTAAAAAACTGTGAGCCGGCTCACACTAACTCAGCTTAGAGGGAACACTGGTGAAGACCCAATTGGGATACTGAGGATTGTTGCTAGCACTTTTATCTTGTTTGAATTTTAATGTTGTATCTATTAATGTGTGTGATTTTGTTATGATTGTTTTATGCGGGTTTTATTGTTGGAAGCCGCCCTGAGCCGGCCTCGGCCGGGATAAAAATTTAATAAGAAGAATTTAAAAATTTATTTGCTATTTTTCTCGATATCCTGTCCTCCCCACAAGTGGGCTCAGGGCAGGTCAGAACAATAAATCCCACTGCAGTCTGAAAGGATTCAATAAATATCAAATGTTAAATTGAGGCAAGAAAACCCATTGAAGCGGGCAGTACGGCAAATTCCAATTTCAGTCCCTGCCAGGGGTCATTTCCTGCGGGAGCGCACAGGAGCGGAGCTCCGGCAGTAAGGAGCCCAGGGAGCGGGCACATGCAACAAGCCCCGCCCCCTGCTCCCAGCAACCCTCAGTCGGGCCATGAGGAGCAAGAGGCAGCCAGGTAAGTTGCAGAGCCCCCCACCCCCGGCCCCCCTTCAGGTACAAGCTCCCCCTCCTCTGTGAGGGCAGATCTGCGTGTGTGTGTCCCCCCCCCGCCATAGCTAGCAATCCAAAACAGTCCAGTGGCACCTTTAAGACCAAGTTTTATTCAGGTACAAGCTCTCCCTCCTCTGTGAGCGACAGATCTGCACGTTCCCCCAGCCCCCAATAGCTAGCAATCCAAAACAGTCCAGTGGCACCTTTAAGACCAAGTTTTATTCAGGTACAAGCTCTCCCTCCTCTGTGAGCGACAGATCTGCACGTTCCCCCAGCCCCCAATAGCTAGCAATCCAAAACAGTCCAGTGGCACCTTTAAGACCAAGTTTTATTCAGGTACAAGCTCTCCCTCCTCTGTGAGCGACAGATCTGCACGTTCCCCCAGCCCCCAATAGCTAGCAATCCAAAACAGTCCAGTGGAGCCTGAGCGGTTGGTGTTGCCTTTTGACACACTTCCGGTGATGTCAGGGTGTGTGGCATATGCAAATCAGTTATGCTAATGAGTTATGCTAATGAGCTCCTGCACCTCTTTTTCTACGAAATGACCCCTGGTCCCTGCAGCTGGGAATGAATGCGCCGAAGCCTAGCCGTAAAGGTCTCAATAAGTAGAAGCCTACTGCCTCAGCGATGGGGAGGCCAACTGGTAGTTGCCCGCTGCCTCAAAAAAAGGCCTAGCAGAACAGCTCTGTTTTGCAGGCCCTGCGAAACCGTAGTAGGCCCCGCAGGGCCCTGTTCTCGGTCAGGAGCGTGTTCCACCAGGCCGGGACCAGGGCCGAAAAAGCCCTGGCTGAAGCTAGGCGAACATCTTTCAGGCCAGGAATAAGACACTGTTGGTCTTAAAGGTGCCACTGGGTTCAAACTTCGTTCTGTAAAAAACACAGTCAACGAACATATATGAAGAAGAGGAGATTGGATGTATACCCCGCCCTTCAGTACCCAAAGGAGTCTCAGAGCGGCTCACAAACTCCTTTCCCTTCCCCTCCCCACAACAGACACCCTGTGAGGTAAAAGAAGAAGAAGAGATCGGATTTATACCCCGCCCTTCACTACCAGAAGGAGTCTCAGAGCGGCTCACA